AGCAGATCATCAGGAGGTATAAAATTGTCATAGCTCTATTGATTTCAATGTAGCTATGATTGTTTACACCTGCTGAGAATCTGCCCCTCAATTCCAGTTTCTATTTATGTCCTTCATTTCAACAGCATCTGACAGCTTTCCAAACATTCATTAATTTATCCTTGCATCATCGCAATGAGGTCAGGAACTATTATTCCCATTTCATACATGCAAAACTGATGCACAGAGAGCCTCATTCTCATTTACACTAAGGCCCCTTTTCTCTGCTCTAGCAGCATAAATTTATGACCACTTGAAGAGCATGTCTACACTTACTTCTGGAGCGATGGATCCAGAGGGGGTCAATTTATCGCATCTAGTGAAGACGCGATAAATCGACCACCAAGCGTTCTCCCGTCGACTCCGGTACTCCACCGGAGCGAGAAGCGTAGGTGGAGTCGACAGGGAAGCGTCAGCAGTCAACCTACCGCAGTAAAGACACCGCGGTAAGTAGCTCTAAGTACGTTGACTTCAGCTATGCTGCTTTCTTAGCTGAAGTTGCGTAACTTAGACCAACTTAGCTCACCCCTCTTCCCCCAGTGTAGACCAGACCTAAGGCCCATCTATTTTACTCTCACTTTAAGGGCTCTGTACACTGTTAGAGCAGTGTAAAGGGGCTATAGTGTAAATGAAAATCAGGCCAAGAGAGAATAAGTGACTTGTCCAAGATCAGAGAAAAATTATGCAGAGTCAGGAATTGAACCCAGGTGTCCTGATTTCCACAGAGGGGTACTGTCTCTGCCCCCAAACAATAAATCTAATAGATTCTATTGTCTGTTTTCACTTCAGTTCTGTTGGCATTTTCTCACAGAACCAAATTTATGTCTGGCTTTCATCCATGCACTGTTGAAAAATAATTTCTGTACACTTAAATTCTATTAAGAGTTTTTTGACTGAGATAATGAAAATCATCAAGAGGTATCTAATTTGAATTCACCACAGAGCATTGCGGTTGCAATATTTGAGTAACTGAAAAATCCATTTAGCATTGTTATAATTTATTTTACTTTCACGTTTTAAGCAATAAGACTTGATGGACTGAATTACGGTGCAATAATTCACACTGAGCGCAGTATTGTATGCCTTCTATGCAACTAGTGTGAGTTCCCATAATAAACATTGGAGAAGCTTATTGTATTTTTTCTTTATTTGTATTTAAACATGTAATATTTTTTGAATACCATCCCAATAACCCAAAAATGTACCTATTGTACTAACTTTCAGAGAGAAGTCAGCAGGGGTTTACAAATGAAGTAGTATGATCAGTGAGGCCAGGATTTCCTACTTGGTGAAGCCAACAGGAGTTGTGCCATTGACTTTAATGGGGCTAGGATTTCACACCAGTCTTTGCTGCACTTCCAAAGAGGTGATGTTGGAACAACCCTAGCCAGGTCTCAATCTTGCACGCGTCCTTTTTATGCCTATAGGTATGCTTTTAGATGTTAAACTATGTTACCTATGGGTGATCTTCTAGCATTGGACACCACCAAAGTGTCAATGCTGACTTAGATCGATCTTCTATATTTGATACCACTGACCTCAAGATTTTTTTTTCTTATTCATCTGCAGGATTTTGTGGGAAAAGACAGGTGAGGCATCTAGTAGATGTTCAGAATCCCTGTCTTTTTGATAGGATGGCATTGTACAGACAAAGTGGTAAGTCAGCTTTATTATGGCTATGGTGCCGAATGGGCAACCTGCATAGTATTGCAATTAATGTCTCTCTTGCTTGTAGTTAACCCCTCCAGAGTATTGCTGAATCAGTGCTGCATACTATTTTCCGTTGAACACTTGTGAATGCTTCAGTGTCAAAATAAAGTGTATGGGAGAGGAAGAAACAAGGTTGATAGCTACTTCATCCTAAATAATTGGTGATGATTGTTGTTGTTTCTGGTAACTTAGAAATCTTTTACAGTTGTAAGAAATAGATGGGGAGAGGTGTGCAGATGAAACATACAATGCTATTGTGGGTTATGGAACCAGAGAACCAGCTTGACCACATGATGTAAGGTGACAGAGTCTAAAGTATAAGTACTGTACTTGTTCTGAGAGTGGGTGGTGGGTAGTTTTCAGCTGTTTATTGCTCTTGTACATGTTTTGCCCATTAAATTCTTACTCTTGCCTTTTCTCTCTGGATTCACAGGTAATAGACAGAGATGAACAAGGTGATCATCCAGTTTTCCAGGACACAACTAGCTGGAAATGCTACTATCTCTTCCTTTGCTTCACAAATTCTGAACAAAGTCCTTGTGGGCTAAAACCAGGTTAGGCTAGTCATTGTGGGCTAAGTCCAATGGAAAAGTGGAATGCCCAGATATGTAGGGAAGGGAGGAGAGAGTGCAGTTTCTATATAGCAGGAGAAGGTCTCGGTTCATCTGATCAACCAGAAAGAGGGTTTATTTGAGGTTCCAGTGGATATGAGTTAAGGTAAGGTTTTGCCAAGTTGAAAGGTGGCTGACAATCCTATTCCTATTCCTGCCCAATTTCACCCTCACCCAATGGGAATTCTCAGCTTATCTGTCATTTACACAAGTATAAATAAAGTAGTTCACATAAAGAAAAATGAATTACCCTGGGGTAAGTGAAAATAGAATCTAGCCCTAACAGGTATATATTTGAAGGGACTGGGGGAGGGAACATTTTTTCCTTTGTGGGTTATGTGTGCTATATGCCTTGGAGATGGGGAGGGATTCTGCTGTGTGTTTCAGACATTTAAAGTCAATGTGTATGTGAACTTTCTACTTATTCACAGTATCCCAGCAGCCAGCCTGCAAAATACTGAGACTGTAATGTGATCTGGTTCTGGTCAGTTTACTAGGAAACATTCCTGATTACAAACCTAAGCTTCATGGCTGTCAAGAGCTACTGAATTATTTCTATTTTTCCATTACCTTAGCCTGAGCTTGACAGCAATAGCTGTCCAGAGTAAATCTCTTCATAATGTAAATCTAGGGCTCTATTCAGCCTCTGGTAGGGATTCGGTTGTAGAGATTTGTGTCAAATTCTGATTCATTAACCAAAAAAATAACCTGATTCTACACCTTGTGTAGTCACTTGTATTTGTGCAAAATGTAATGATGTAAGCAGAGTCAGGATGAGCTCCACCCTGACATCTGGTGGTGAGTTGTGGAAAAGAACTTCAGGGGCTGATCTCATTTGCATAGGCACACTCACCCAGCCTAGCATGAGCCCATAGCTGCCCAAATGCTCACTTTGGCTGCTGTGGGATCCCCAGTGTCTCTGTTATTGGGGCAGGAAGAATAAATTGTAATTATCCTGATTATGTGAATCAAGGACAGTGGAACTGTACTTGGCCTTTTGTTATGATGGAGGGACTCGCCATCAACTAAGTAGCACTCGCTAGGCAAGGGACATGGGTTCCAAAGCTCTGTGAATTGAGAGAGGTTGGGGGAGGTATTAATATCTGGGGGTATGGGGCTCTGGATGGGTGTGGGATAATTGCACTTCCTTCTCTTTCTACTGTAGAATGTAAGAGCTAATTTTGATTCTATTAGGAGTCTAGTTACAGACTGTTGAGCTGAATTCACTTTGGGCCAATGATGCATCAGCATTGAGGCTCCCCTACTACAGGCTGAAATCACAAAAGAGCTAAACTTACTAAGAGCTGAAATCACTCAGTGTTATGTTAAGTAGGGGGGGAGCCTGAAGATATAGTGTGGAGCAGTTTGTAGGACAGCTGGCAGAGCAGAGCAGCTCTTGGAACAGAGTAGAGCGGCTTGTGGGACGGCTGGCAGAGCAGAGCGGCTGGTGGAGTGGAGCAGTTTGTAGGATGGCTGGAGCAGCTCATGGGGTGCACCTGGCAGAGAGGAGTGATTTGTGGGATGGCTGGTGGAGCAGAGCCCCATGGAGAGGTGGGGCAATTGGCTTTGGATCACGTAAGGTGCCCCTTAACCCCCCCACCCCATCTCCATCCAGGTTGGGAGGTAAAACTCTGCAGATAAACTTTCGAGCTCTGGTGCTGCACTGACCAGGGACAGAGACTTTCGGGTTGTTGGACTTTTGGGACTTTGGGTGACTTTGGATTGCTGGACTCAAGAACCAAAGGGAAAGGACATGCCCCAAATTGCTTGGGGTGGGGTTTTTTTGCTCATGGGTTGTGTTATGAATCCTGTTGGTGGTGTTTCCCCAACATAATGCCACATTGTTTCTCTCTGTTATTAAAAGGCTTTTGCTACACTCAGGCTCTATGCTTGTGAAAGGGGAAGTATTGCCTCTAAGAGGTGCCCAGCAGGGGTGGTATATATTTGTCCCAGGTCACTGGGTGGGGGCTCGAGCCGGTTTTGCATTGTGTATTGGAATGGAACCTCTAGATACTGAATCCGACCCTTGGTGCTGCCAACTCTGAAGGGCAGAAGGGTTACAATACAATATGGGTGAAAAATGCTATCAAATATGAATGAAAGCATTTTACACTCACTCTTCCTAGGTGTAAATGGCCCCATAATCTGTTAAAAAAACAAAGATTATCTATAGGTTTCAGAGTAACAGCCGTGTGAGTCTGTATTCGCAAAAAGAAAAGGAGTACTTGTGGCACCTTAGAGACTAACCAATTCATTTGAGCATAAGCTTTCGTGAGCTGTAAAGAGTAAACTTAGTAAGTTTAGCTGAAAGCAACAAATCCCTATTGTTGTTGCTGCCTACTTTGTGCTCCATAATATCTATGAAACAAAGGAAGAAAAGTTTCCAGTGGGGTGGGAGGCAGAAGCAGATCGCATGGCAGCAAATTTTGAGCACCCAGACACCAGGGCAATAAGACGAGCACATTGAAGTGCACTGCATCTCTGTGAGGCTTTGAAAACTAGTTTCATCAATGACCCACAGTAATGTGACACTTATGTGTGTTCCTTACCAAGCTATCCCCTTCATTGCATGTACTCCCCTATACACTACACCACCGCTAACCACAGTGTGCTGAATGAATAAAGAGCCCTTTTCTCCTCAATCCACTTATTTTTATTATGCTCACAAACACTGAGAGACAGCAAAGAAAAGTAAGATAAAACTTGGGGGAAGGTAGGGGAGAAACAAGGACAGCTTGCTTACAGTTGCACCGCAGTAACAATCAAAGGTGTGGGAATGGGCACTTTCTGGTCTTTGCACTCTCCCCTGGAGTTGAGTGCAAGGGATACCGGACTCCCCCAATCCCCTCCTCCCCCATCCTAGGACATCTGGGAGAGGAGGATGTGGAACTTGGCGACAATGGCAGCAGGTTCAGTGCAGACTGCAGTGGGACTCTAACATCCAGTTGCCTTTCTTGAACCTCAGCCAGACGCCTCAACATGTCTGTTTGCTTCCTCATAATCCACACCATCTCATCCTGCATGTCACACTCATGTTCCCTGCATGCTCTTCTGTCCTCGCGGTCATTGTACAGGCTGTCGGACAGTTTAATCCTCCATGCGCTGAGCTCCATCTTGTCACTCTCGGAGGCATGCATTAACTCATTGAACATATCCTCCCAAGACTTCTTTTTCCGCCTTCTAATCTAGGAAAGTCTCTGTCTCAGTGTGGAGGATGCGCCTCTGGACAAGGTTTCAGCTATAAAGAATATAAAGCACAAGGGTAGCATTAACAGTCTCGCTCAAGGTTAAATCTTTTCATAAAAGAAACACCCCACAATGCATTTCCCTGTAAACCACAACATAAGCAGAAATGCTGGCTATTGCAAGAGTGGGTTTGCTGTTACAGCCACAGTGAGTAAGGCTACAAGGCATGGGCAAGAGGCCTTGTGCTGCAGCTTTTGTTAAAACATCCTTGGGATCAATGGTTCCAACCTCAGCACAGCCCCCTTTCCCATAGCAACCTGGATGGTGCTTGTGGGCAGGCACCAGCGTAAAGCCCCGCAAATAGTTTGATTGTTATAAAAATGGCACCGTGTTGGGGTGGAAGGGAGACGAACAAGAAGCCTTGCCCCACTCCTTCTTTAAATGCTGGTTGCAATACGGGGTTATCCCTTCCAACCACAACCAGGGCACACTCGGGAAAGCATGGTTTTGTGATCCAGAATTCATCAAATGGGGCGGATTTCTTATTGAATTGCTTGCAGTTTAATGGCTAGCATTTAACTTTCCCCGTTTCCCCTAGGTAACCATACGCAATATCACTTTCCTGAGGGTAACAGAGGCGGAAAGGGAACAGATGCTGTAAGTGTCTGGGTATAGACCTCCTGGTCCTTATGCTGCAATGCTGTGTGCCACAATGATGCCAGAAGAGTTAATACTGGAGGGGCTTGGGAAAGTGTCCTACTGTGGTGGATGAAATAAGGCAGCCCTTCCCAGAAACCTTCTGCAAAGGATTGCAGAGTACCTCCATGAAAGCTTCCTAGTTAGCTCCATGGAAGATTCGCGGGCCACGCCGGGCACATAAACAATCTTTTTCGGAGCGCACCCTCTGCATAGCTGGAATGGCCACTGATAACCACTATCCCAATTTTCTTATTCAGATTCAACATTAAAAATAATAGCATGTAACCCCTACAGTTTGATTGAAAATGTGTACTCACCAGAGGTGCCTTCCCCAGCATCATGCTCTGCTGCCAACTGGTCCTGTGCGGGAATGGGCTCCAGAGTCAAAAAAAGTTCTTGGCTATCGGGGAGAATGTATCCTCCGCTTGCCTGCCACGCATTCTCCTCCTCCTCTTCCTTGTCAACAATGTCTTCCTTGTTGTTGCCCAAGGTCACCCAGAGCTCCTGGGAGGTATCCACAGAGCATTTTGGGGTAGTGGCGGGGTCGCCACCTAGAACCGCATGCAGCTCCTCCATAGAAGCGGCATGTCTGCGGCTCAGAACCAGAGTGACTGTTTGCCTCCCTTGTCTTCTGGTGTGCTTGCCAAAGCGCCTTTATTTTCACGCGGCACTGCCGTGTGTCCCTGGGGCTAGCCCTTCTCCCCCAGGCCCTGTGTGAGTCTGGCATAGATGTCAGTGTTTCTTCTGCTGGTTTGGAGCTCTGCCTGCACTCTTCTCCCCACACAGCAATCAGATCCACCACTGCCTGTGTGCTCCATGCTTCAGTGCATTTGAGGCCTTCAGCATCCATGGTCAACTGTGCTGACGAGCTCTCCACGCTGATCAAACAGGAAATGAACATTCAAAAGTTCCTGGGGCTTTAACAGGTGGACAGCTGTTTCCTGTGTACCTGGCTGAAGTGAAGTGGAATTTACAGGTACGAAGTTTTAATGGTGCAGGTGGGTGCTCGACCCCCCCCCCCCGTCCCAGGCCCGCTCCTGCCCCCATTCCAACCCCTTCCCCAAAGTCCCCGCCCCAACTCTGCCCCTCCCTGCCCCTATTCCTACTCCTTCCCCAAATCCCTGCACTGGCCCCGCCTCACCCTGCCTCCTCCCCTGAGCATGCCAGGTTCCCATTCCTCCCTCCTGGAGCTTGCTACAGCTGCAGAGGTAGGCAAGTTCTGGGAGGTAGGCGGAGAAGCAGGGATGCGGGGCGCTCAGGGGAGGAGGCAGAGGTGAGGCAGGGGGGGCGGGGAGCTTGGCTGCCAGTGGGTGCAGAACACCCACTAATTTTTCTCTGTGGGTGCTCCAGCCCCGGAGTCGGCGCCTATGGTGGAGCTGAAAGTGCTCTCCAGAGCAGTCACAGAGGAGCACTGTGGGACACCTTCCGGAGGTCAATTCATTCAAATGACACAGTGCAGTGCCTATAGTATCCCAGTGTTGATGCCTGGATGTCAACCGAAGCACTACGCCTCTCCTGGAGGTGGAGTGCAGAAATCGACTTTACAAGCCCTTTAGGTCGGCGGAAGGGACTCGGTAGTGTAGACACATACATTATTAATGCCACCTAACGTGGCAGATGTCGCCCTAACTTTGTCGTGTAAGCCAGGCCTTAGTTTGTACTGTCTGAACCTCCAAGCTGTCTACGAAGGGCACCGCGCATTGCAAAGGGCCAGGAATAGACCCTGAGCATGCGCAGGCCGCGACTCCCCTCCCAGGCTAGCGCCCCTCCCCGCCACAGCCCCCTGCACGCGCGGACCCGGCTCCCCCGCCCCCAGCTACCTGCGGCTGCCGCGGATTGGCTGGGTCGGCCCCGCCCCCAGCTGCTGACGTGCGCAGCCTCGGTTTGACGGGCAGGTATGGCCCGGGCGCCATGTTGCGAGCGGAAGCGGGGAGCGAGCGGCGCTGAGGCAGGGTAGCTCCGCCGGGCGGGAGGCGGCGGCAGCGGCAGAAGCCAGAGCCGGGTAGGGCCCTCCGCCGGCCGGGGCGCCGCGCCGCACCCGGGCTCCTCGCCCTGCCCGCGCCGGGGGCTGCCCCCGTCTTACCTCGCCCCGCGGGGGCGCTTGAAAGCGGAGCGCGAAGGCGGCGGCGGCGGCGCCGAGCGGGGACGATGCCGCTAGCGCAGCTGGCGGACCCCTGGCAGAAGATGGCTGTGGAGAGCGCGGCCGAGAGCAGCACGGAGGTACGGGGTCCCGCCGGGGGGCAGGGAGACGCCGCCGCCTCGCACCGCGCCCCGGCAGCCTGGGGAGGGGGCCCCAACGCTCTAGCCCGAGCCCACGTTCCCTCCGGGGGCGCCTTGCCCTTGAGAGGGGCCCCTGGTGGACAGCGAGCGCCCGGCTCCCTAGGCGAGTCGAGGGGTGTTCGCGAGCCCCCCTGCCCAGCACTCCTGGCCCCGTGCGGAAGGGGCTGTAAATAACACCCCCCCCCCCACGGCTGGGACGGGTTGTCCCGTGAGCCCCGCGTGGCTGCGCCCGCTCCCTCCTTCCCCCGGTGGCGGTGTAACGATGGGGAGCGCGCTGGTCCCGGGGCTGGGCAGAGCGAGATGTCACGCAACCCCCAAGTTTATGGGAAACTTTCCCCTGCCGTGTGCGCGGTGCTGCGCCGTGGGGAGCCGCGACGCTGGCTGGTGACAAAAGGTCAGGCGAAGGCCGGAGGGTGAGGGAGCCGCACGGGACTTTCCTCTCGCCCAGCGGCTGCTGCTCGGAGCTCTGCCCTGGTGTCTCGCTCCCTCCCTAGCCCGTTTGAGCCTCGGCTGCGTGCCGCTCCCTTGCCTGTAAGTGACCGACCCCCACGCAGGGGGATCGGCCAGGACCCCACCACTTCCGGAGGGGGTTAGTCTGCACCTTCTGGGAGGAGAATAACCTGCTTCTGCGCCGCTGAACGACTTGGCTGGTTTTATTCCGTTCCGGTATCTGGTTACTGTCACCGCGAGTTCCCTCTTCCCGGAGTGGCCCAGCCTCCTCCACACGCCCTTCCCAGGCAGCGGACGCGGGGAAACTAGCTCCTAATAGGGCAACTCTGTATAGCCGCCTGACCCTGTGGCAGGCCAGGCAGGCATATAAGAAGCCTGGCTTCACCTTCCTTAATGTCTCTCCCCTCCACCCCCTTTTTCACTTCTCTGCTGTTGGAAAAGGACACTCATCCCTCTGATCCCAAAACGTCTTTATCTAGGCAGAGCTGGGTTGTGCCTGCAGTTCTTGCTATTTCACAATCATTTCGGCTACCCGGGCTGCCTCATGTTGGTAACACTTGCTGTTTGGCCAGTTTGGGGGAACATCCGTGTAATGCTGTGCAGTGTGGTTTCCTGCTGTTTGTAGTGAGGGGACAGTAGGATGTTGGTGTGGTATGACATCGATGTCACAGTTCCCTATGCATTTTTAGTTACTAGACTGAGTTGTTCCAAGTGCTAGTGAGGAGATTCAGATCCCTTTGTGGGGGATGATTAATTAGAGTTGTTGTCTCTTCTAGTCACTTCCACTTTTCATTAAATAAAGAATTGTGTGCTAATGTGGTTTGGACACCAGGTAATAAAGGCTTGCAAAGTTGTAATAATGCTGAGAAACTTGCCCCATTGCTTCCTGACTGCCTGCCACTTAAAAGGAGACTGCAGATTAATTTGACCTCCAGTGAAGAAGTTCTGATAACACAATCATTTAAAAATACCTATCATTCTTACAGTAGTTTTCTCACTAATCTTCAAAGTGGTAGTTCTAGGTGAAATAATTTTGGAAAGGAGTATAATTACTAAGAAGAGCAATTTAACACTTGTTCTAGGAGGACAAATATTTTTCCTTCCTGAGACTTATCCGGCATTACTGAATTTTTAACATGTGAACAGTGTGACTTTAATTTCCTCTTCATGCTATGTATTTTTTTTGTAATTAGGAAACATATCAGCTAAATTCTGTGACTATAAGGAAGCCCCAATATTAAATTTAAAAGGTGTTGCATTGATGCATGTGTGTTTCTAAATATTTTAAGTTTCCATTATTCACTTGATTTTTCATTCTTCAAAATACTGTGTTTGGAGACTTTTTAAAAAACAAATATTTCAAAATGTATTCGGTCAGTTCATAAAGAAAAGTTATGCACATAAACAAGGCTGTTCTGTACTTACATTATCATGAGACACTTAAGTTATGTAGAAACACTACAAAAATATATAACTACACCTATCTGAAGGGTTTATGGTGTAAAGCCCAGTCCTAACAAATACTTATGCCCATGCTGTGCTTCAGATATGGATATAATCCAAAATTATTTCAGGTTTACTTCTTAGATAGGACACAGATAATCATTGCTGCTTTGTTAGTGAATGTTCATCCTATACAGGTACCTCTGTGGTTTTTGGTTTATTTTTGTAAACCTGTTTTGGAACAGACTTAGTATTCTAAGTTACTGCAGTAGAACCTCAGAGTTATAAATGCTTTGGGAATGGAGGTTGTTCGTAACTCTGAACAAAACATTATGGTTCTTTCAAAGGTTTACAAGTGAACATTGACTTAATACAGCTTTGAAACTTTACTATGCAGAAGAAAAATGCTGCTTTTAACCATCTTAATTTAAATGTAACAAAGCACAGAAACAGTGTTTGTATCTTGTCAAATCTTTTTTTAAACTTTCCCTTTTTTGTTTAACACAGTACAGTACTGTATTTGTTTTTTCTTTTTTTGTCTCTGCTGCTGCCTGATTGCGTACATCCGGTTCCAAATGAAGTGTGTGCTTGACCGGTCAGTTCATATATCTGGTGTCTGTAAATGTGAGCTTCTACTGAAAGAAGAAAAATTATGAATATTTGATTAGAATAATGAATTTATACATGGAATTTTAGAAAGAACCTAAGTGATGTAGGTGCCCAAAACCTGTCAAAATTCAATGGAAGTTGGGTGTCCATTGAAGAAGAAAATAGATTTGAATATAAAGGTTGTTTGCCTGAAAGCTGTATCTTTAAAAATAGTCAATTTTTGGATCAAGTATGTAAACAAATGGCTTAAATACTTAACCATATATTTAATTTACACGAGTTAGCCTTATTAGCAGCACTGCAATCTCTTGACTACAGTCAGATCCCTGTGAGAGGTCTGTGCCTTCATGGAGTCCTTTTATGACTTATTCTCCATAGCTATATGTTGGCTGTCATCTGCAGCTTTTGTAAATCATGTACATTATCTATGTTTGCCATAGATATTCACTAAGGACTTGTCCACACTGTGATGCTGCAGTGCAGACAATGAAGGTATGAACTGCAGAGCGCACCAAAGCGTTACTATGTAACAGCCCCATGTGGACGCAGCTGGTGCGAACTAAAAGGTACATAGTTTGAATTAACACAGTCCTCTTTCAAACAGTTAGATCGCAACACTTTGTGTTCTGCGGTTCGCACATCTGTACTTCGCACTTCTGTACTTCGCACTGTGAGGCAGTATAGACATAGCCTTACTCCTTAATGCAGCCCTAAGGAAATCATAAGTTGTTATAGCAAACCTTGGTGTTACCTCAAGTTATACCAGTGTTGGAGTCGATTGGTATTTTTTCTGTGGGGGAAATGAAGTGCCATGCAAACTGTTAAAGAGCTTTGGGGTAAAAACATAAATCCATACAATTATTAAAGGTGAACAAGAGGGCATTTGATTCACTATATGTTTCTACAGTACCCAAAAAAACCAGAGAAATCCTGAATGAGCTCTCTGAGCATTATTGTAATGTAAAGCATTTTGGGGTAGTTTGTGTTAATGATGGTACGTAAAAGAAAGTTATATTGTATATAATACTTGAGGAAATATCCAAAGTGTAAATCAAGCTCTGTTAAAGCCAGTGGAACTATATTGATTTACATCAGCTTGGGTTCTTGCCCTACATCCTTAACCGGCATCTATGTCTCATGCTGAGTATATACTGTATGTTATGTAATCATGCACAAGACATGTTGGCCAAGAGTTTCAAATACTGGAGTCTTAATGTTAGGCTCCTAAATTCATATTTAAGCACCTGAACAAGCAGCCTGGTTTTTCAAAAGTGTTGCACTCCTCTGAACTCCCATTAAACATCAGTCAATAGGCTGTGTCTAAATATGGGTTTGGGAGCCTAACTTTCAGCACTTAGTTTTGAAAGTCTTGCCCATCGCAAATAGAGATTGTTTAAAAGCAAGATATTTTATACTCATTCTTTCACTTACCTGCTGAATCCAGGATTATGTTGTTCTTGTGGCAGTCAGCGGGACATTACTACTACTAAATGACTGGGATGAAGAGGCATGTCAGTGAGTGATGTTGATGCATAAAAGTATATCGAATATGGTGCGGCATTGATGCTTATTACCCCATTCTTGCTAATGCTTACACACATGCATAACTTTTAAGTACATGAGTAGTCGACCCAAAGTCTAAGTTAAGTGAATGCATAAGTGTTGGCAAGATTACATCTGTTCTTTGCCATTTGCAGTCATAATTTCCAGTTGTGATTGCTTCGGTACTTATTTTGTATATCAGTCTTCAGAATAGGACATACTTCTGGGGAATAAGCCACAAGAATAAAGATCACATTTGCAACCATCCTTTACATACTGAAAACATAAGCAGGGTTGTCTAAACAGAAGGTATCAATGGATATTGAAAGTTACTCAACTCTTTACCACCACTCCATTGTAGTGAAGAATTTCATCACAAAATATCCTCTAAATTGTTCTTTATCACTTCTAAAGTATTTATCTATTTGAATGTAATAGTTCTTGGAGTGTGCTTACTTTTGTAAGTTTATGACAAATGAAACTTTTCCATATAATTTTATTATAATAAAGGATTCTCATCTGATGCTTATCCATAATATGTACATATGTAAAAAAAAGTATTGTATTTCAAAGACTACTGTACAGGAGAGGCTCAGGGATTTTTGTGATTCCATTAGTAAAATAGATGTCATAACCATGTGAATACGATGCATATGAAACCTGCCATCCTTTTAATACTTACTACCAGTGATTTCTTATTGGTAGTTCTACGCTTGTGAATGTTTTGCTGCCCTTGGGCACAAGTGACATTTCTCACCACAGCTACATATCTAGAAGACTAGAACTGGTAGTCCATGCAGGAGTGGAAGACAGATTGAATGGGGAACTGGGACTGGCTGGAAAAGGAGACGGAAACTGACTAAATGAGAAAGGGAATAGATGACCTCCTGAGGTCCCTTCCAACCCTAATATTCTATTCTATGATTCTATGAGGAGCTTGGGGTGGTGAAGAGACAGGAGGGGGACAGAAACTAGTTGGAAGGGGTTGGGGGAAAACAGGCAGAAGAATCTCTACCCCACTATAGAACACTTCTCTCCAGAGCCTGGAATGGAACCCAAGACTCCTGAGTCTCACCATTCCCTCTACTGTCAGCAATTGTGTGAAGGCCACTGGCTTCCCTGCCACCACTCCCACCACACTGGATTGCATTTTTGTTCTTGTTTCAGTGTCCCTTTCAGAGATTAAAAATTATAGTCCTGAGATTTGCTGTATCCCTGGGTTCATGACAAAATTACAATGTTCAACCAAGGAGTTAGTAACATACTTGCATACTGTGTAAAACTACGATCAATATACCACTGAAGTCTGAGAATCTGCTTTCCAATAGTGTGCAGCATTATTTTTTGTTCTTAATGGACTATAAAGCTAGGTTATTGCGATTATTATCTCACATGGGCTAGAATGAATACATAACTTTCCTAGCTGTAGCTCTAGCAACAAATATCAGTTACTGATATAATAAAAAGGGTTGTTTCGTTTTGCTGTTCCAGCTGCAGTAGACTGTACAGGGACAGCAGTAGAGATGCAATCCTCCTCTGCCAAGAATCTTACTCAGCAGCTTTTAAACGTGAAAAGTCTAAATACGCTACAGGCACCTTAAATATCTCTTGAATAGAGCTTTTATGGAGGATAATTCTTCATATCCTTCAAGCAGAGGGTGAAAAGCCTAAGCCATTGAAATAAAAATATAGACACCAGTATTGATGGTTAGCACAGCAACGTGAATTCTCCTTTCATAAGGCTTTCAACATCTCAATAGTCCAAGACCAGTGAGGACCAATGTGATAACATTGTCTGTCTTCCTGCATAACACAAGACTTAGAACTTCCCCAGAATAATTCCTGGGGCATATCTTTAAGAAAAGCATCCAATTTTGATTTAAAAATTATCAGTGATGGGAAAGTTCCAGTGCTTAGTTACCCTCACTGTTAAAAATCTATCCCTTGTTTCCTGTCTGATGTTGTCTAGCTTCAGCTTCTAGCCATTGGATTGTTAAACCTTTCTCTGTTGGACTGAAGAGCTCATTATTAGATATTTATTCCTCATGTGTATGTAGTTGTAGACTGTAATCAAGTCACTCAATCTTTTCTTTAAACTCAATAGATTAAGCTCCTTGAGTCAATCACTAATAAGGCATGTTTTCTAATCTTTTAATCATTCTCATGGTTCTTCTGTGAACACTATCCAGTTTTTCAGCATTCTTCTCAAATTATGGCTACAGAACTGGACACAGTATTCCAGCAGCAGTCACACCAGTGCCAAATACAGAGATGAAATAACCTCTCTGCTCCTACTCAAGATTTCCCTATTTGTGCATCCCAGGATCACATTAGCTCTTTTGGCCATAGTGTCGCACTGAGAGCTCATGTTAGTTAATTATTCACTCTCCTCCCCCCTCCCCCCCCCAATTCTTTTTCAGAGTCACTGCTTCCCAGGGTTGTGTCCCTCATCACATAAGTATGGCTATATTCTTTGTTTCTGGTTGTATTAAATCACATATTGCTTGCTTGCGTCCAGCTTACCAGGTGATCCAAATCACTCTGACTCAGTGACCTGTCCTCTTCATTATTTACCTCTCCCCCAATTTTTGTGTCATCTGCAAGCTTTATCAGTGATGTTATATTTTCTCACAGGTAATTGATAAAAATGTTAAATAGCATAGGACCAAGAACCAACCTCTACAGGAGCCCACTAGAAACGCACCCACTCAGTGATGACTCCCTGGTTATAGTTACATTTTTAGACCTATCAGTTAGCCAGCTTTTAGTCCCTTTAATGTGTGCTATGTTAATTTTATATTATTCTAGTTTTTTAAATCAAAATAAGGTAATAAGCCCAGGTATTTCAGTCATTCTCTATCCTAGCAGGTCAGCAAGGTGACTAACTTCTTTTTGTCCTGTGTGCTCTTCCTCTAGACGCTTGCACCAGATAGCTTTGTGGAAACTGCAAACAAAGTTATAATATTTCCCATCAAGCCTGGTGTGAGGGATGAGCTCTCCCTAGAAGTTCTTATTAACAAACAGGCAATATGGTAATCCCTGCTCCTGTACCTGAACATTTTTCTCTCTAGGCCAAACCTGTCTCTTGGCATCTTAATCTAGGCTGGCACCATATGCCGTGGCTTGCTCATGCTCTGGCCAGAGAATGGAAGGTGGGAGAACATAGTTTAAAGGAATGAATTCGCAAATTACTTTTAATTATAATGAGGACATGACTAAAAGAGCCCGCCACTCACCTTGATTTTTAGGAGCTCTCCCTCTCAGGACCTGTAAATGATCAGCTTTTGAAAATCCATGCAATGGGCTGAACTTCTCCGGGGTGTCCTTTTACTCCTCCCCCTTCTTCAGCTCCTCTGAGACATGCTATTTTTATTTCCTGGAGAAGAGAGCATCACCAAAAACTTTAAAAATCATGCTTGCCTCCTAACACTTTACCTCTTCATACAAACAGTAAAAACCTCAACAATTAATGTCATTGAGTTTTAATCCGCTATTTAAACATGTCAGTTTTTGCAGCATATGGGAAGCAGATAGACAGTCTCAGCAGTTTGTCCACAGAGGTTAATCAAATAATTGTGAAGATGCTCATTTCCTATGTTGGATACCCACCATTGTAAGCCCGGTGCTTTGTCAGTTTACTTACTGCTGTTAATGTTTTTAACATCTTTACAAGTGTGTGCGTGTAGTACTTTGCACTAATATGGTCCATAGAGACAACAGAAACCTCCGCAATTATTCAAACTACCTTTAAGTTTCTGTTTTCTAATAGATCATTGACATGAATTGTGAACAATTATCAAGCAGTGTGATTAAATGAATATTAATTAACAGCACTGTATCTCAGATAATTACCCCATATCATCTTGATCAGATAATTGCTTAACATAACTGGAGAAGAGCTTCTAGGAAACAATGAAAACACTGATGTTCTCTGAATACATTGATGAAATCTATGGGTATCTATCAGGTCTCGTGCACCCATTTCATAGAGTCCACACAGCTTCATGTTCTGACATGCCACATCCTTGCTGAGAATTGAGGGTCATCTGAGACTCAAAGACCCATTATGTTTTGGTATAATCAAATATTGGAATCCAGAAGGGAAACTTCATAAGAGGCAGATTGTCCTCACAACCCACATTCCATCCAGGATAATGCTTGAAAGAACTACCAAACAATTTGCTAGTTGAAGGAACATAAGAACACCCATGCTGGGTCAGACCCAAGGTCCATCAAGCCCAGTATCCTATCTTCTGACAGTGGCCCATACCATGTGGTTCAGAGGGAATGAACAAAACAGGTAATTCTCAAGTTATCCATCCGCTGTTGCCCATTCCTAGCTTCTGGCAAACAGAGGCTAGGGACGCCATTCCTGCCCATCCTGGCTCATACCCATTGATGGACTTATCCTCCATGAATTTATCTAGTTCTTTTTTGAACTGCATTATGTTCTTGGCCTTCTGTTACAGCGTTGGCCTTCACCACATCCTTTGGCAAGGAGTTCCACAGATTGACTGTGCATTGTGTGAAGAGATACTTCCTTCTGTTTTTTTTTAAACCTGCCTATTAATTTTGTTTGGTGACCCTCTAGTTCTTGTGTTATGAATAAAGGGCTATATCTAATAGCAAGAAAAAATTCTAGACAAATAAGGCAAAGGATCCATCATTAAGGTTCAACATCATAATCCTAATGGTAAACAGCCCTGAAAAAGAGAACAGTGAGAACTGAAATTTCTAGTAGATGTCAGTTGATGGATCCTGCTTGATAACTTCAGCTTTGAGTGGCATAGATGTCTTTCAAAGTTTGAAGCATTTCTCTAGCCCAGCTACCATTTCTCCTCTTCAGAACCTCCTGGCAGCAGTGAAAGGAAAGGTCTCCTCAATTCGTTAATCCCCTCCAAAGCATCCTGGCAGCTGTGTGGCATTGGGGAAAGGAAAGAGGTCTCTGCCACCTCATTCTTCACCTGTATTTTTTTTTGCAGGGGGTATGTTAGGGGGAAGAGGAGTTGTCATACTTTAACTCCAATACCTGCTTCTGCTTTGGGCTTTCTCCAGCAGCATAAAATAACATTCTTTTTGATAGTTTTGCAGCTGGTCAGAGTTCTGAACAACAGGATCATTTTTAGTTTCAATCTATTGCTGCTTCATAAGTAACAGACACTAGAACTGTCTGTCTACAAGAGAGCTGAAAATAATGAATTAACCCCTTTCTAACTGTGCCCAGTGACCAAGATGAGCAGCAGTATGATGAGAACTGTGTTGCACTTAATATAAAGAGAGATAACTTGGTTGCATATGCTCTTGAAAGCATGAAGTGTTAATAAGCAGGGCCATGACCTTCAAGCCTGATCATCATTGTCCCATTAAAAAAAACCCCTGAATTTGTCCATTCCTGCTTGTGGCTTTTTATTACCACAATCCAAACTGCAACAATAATTATTTTGTGGAATCTTTGACCGTGATGATAGTGGCTTGATACATGTGGTTGGTCTTGGGAAAAGGAGTTTTATTTGTGCTGAATAACTCCCATTGTGGGACTCATTTGGACTAATGTGGTACTGTATGGGGATTGAAGTTTGGGTGTTGCTGTGTGCTATCCACAATATACTTACCTTTTGGAAGGGGATCACCTTGTATCACACAGATGAACTTCTCTGGATTTTAGAGACTAAAATGCTCATAATGCTATAGTGAAAGCACCCAAAGAAATGTTTTTCTGCTTTTTAACTGAATTCAACCCTTTTAGTAACTTGCTGTTTATTTGCTATGTTTATTGTAGAATGGACAGCAAATTATGGATGAACCTATGGGAGAAGAAGAGATTAATCAGCAAACTGTAAGTAAAAGATTGCAAATGTAAGCTTTATTTTGTGGTACATTTGTGTTATAGGTCACTCAAATACTAAGGGCTGGCTGTAACTCTCATAGTGTAAGCCCTGTGTTCCTTAGACCTAAATTGTTTGTCATGGATCTATATTTTTGAGGAAAAGCTCTCTTCCTCGCTCACCCACTGGTTCAGTAGAGTGTCCCTTGTGTTAATTTGAGTACTAAATTGAGTTGCTTGTACAGTGCTCCCAATATTTTTGGTGTGATGCAGGTTTCTCTATGGAAGGCACAAAGCTATATCTTGTAGAAGTCAGGGGAAAACCATTGCTCTGACAACTGGAAAGGGCACAGATGTGGCACTTGGTACTAGGTGGCTTTTGCTAATAGGGAAGGGATGTATCTTTCTTTTTTCCCCTTTTTGGACAGAGGCAAAGGTGACTGACTTTAGAAAGGGAGATAGAATCCAGGAATTCACCTGTCGCCCCAGAAATTCTGAAAACTATCTACCTTACAGCACCCATTATACCCAATGTCAGTGAAGAAAGCACAACAGCTGTTTTCTGCTAAAATGATTCAGTGCAGTAGTTAAGAATGTTGATGGTGTCAGTTGATTACAGAGATTGACATTGAGCTAGTAGGTGCTCTGCAGGTTACAGCATCAGCTAATATCAAGAACGTGAACAACAGATTCCATTGTCGATGTACATATGCGTGTGAGATCAGATTCTTTTTGGCTAGAAGTGACCATCAGGCCTTGTCTGCATTCTAAGTGCCCTTGCAGCCTCACCCAGGGGCATAAAAGAGAGAGCAGGCCCAGCCACCCCTCAGTTCCTTCTTACTGCCTTGGCTGTGAGATCAAACCATTGGCGGTGTTCCCTTAACCTAATTGCACAGGGCACACGGTATCTTGGTTATTAGCTGTATTGGTATTAGTTAACATAATTAAATTTCCTTTTGCCCATTGGCCTGTAATACTTAATTATTTATTTATTTAGCATATTTAGGCAATCAGTTAGCCTAGCCACCCTCTCCCTCTTTCGTTTAGGGGCAGTGGGATCATGGCAGAAGCCAAGAAACCAGTATTTAAGAGGTCTCAAATGACATTTCCTTACCCATCAAAAATGGTCACTCTTAATGCTTGATATGTTGTGGGGAAGGACACATTCTTGGATGATTATCTGTGTGACGGTTTTTTTCCAAGCCCACCCAGAGAACAAGGGCAATGAGGCTGAAACTTTTCCTTCTGGAGAAGTCAACGCAAGCTGTAAAGTAATGGAGATCTTTGGAGAGCCTCAACAGGCAAGCTAGTTGCTCTGTCTGTGACCTGGTGAGCTGACACACCCTCTCCCCCCCCCCCCGAATCAGGAAGACTTCTAGCATACCCCACCATGAGAAGTCTTTTAGCAAATCAACCTGATCAGCACCATCATGGGTACCAGAATCAAAGACCTCTAGACATAAGGGCTCTAGGAGCAGGGACTTCTCTAAGAAGCCTTATTCAGCCCATGCTCCAGAATTGCCATTTTGGGTCGCAGCCACAAAATGCTCTTAACCATACTTCTGCACCGTCTCGTACCATCCTCAGCTTGAATACACATGGAGCGCACAGACCATACTTTACCATCATCCGTGGTGCGTTCCCAGGTTCCCATGGACCTCTGTTTAGGCCTGCTGGTACAACCCAGGCTCCTCTCCCATGGGAGACTCATGGCTGACTTCCCTCATATGACTTTCTACTGTGGGTGCCCTTGTGGCCCCATTCTTGCTTCCTACCTAAGGTCTCCTCAGAAATCCATATCAATCAGGACATTTGACGACCAGTATTTTACCCAAAGCCTCATCCTTTGAGGGAGGAGCCTAGGCTCCGTTCCCTGGACTTAAGAAGGACCTTTGTCTTCTATTTCAAGAGAACTGGGCCTTTCAGGACTTCCCCCAGACTCTTCATCTCCTTCACTGAGAGAATGACAAGACAACTGATTTCTACTCAGACTTTCTAAGTATGTTTCACTGTGTATTCAAGCTTATTACAAAGATTTTGAGGTGCATCCCCTTTCTAGAGTGACTGCACATTACACCAGGGACCAATCTTGATAGTCCTTAAAAATGTATATGGAACCATAACTCAAAGAAGAAAGAGAGGTTACTTACCTGTATAGTAAATGAAGTTCTTTAAGATGTTCTTAGAGATCTTTTGTCTGTGTGGGTGCTCCAGCACCTACTCTCCTTCCCTTCTGCTGCGGAGTCTCTTTGGGCTTCGTAGTTGAGAAGGAACTTGAGAAATGGCTGGTCCTCCTCTTACAATATACCCTCCCACCAGAGCACAAGAGAGTGTAGGGTGCAGTCACGGATCTGTGGACACTACTGGCTAAAATCTCCAATCAGGAGTGCCTGGGCACGGGCAGTAGCACGTCCGATAGTGGAGTGGCCATAGTGTTAAAACATGTAAAAACTCCAGTTACTGTACAGGTAAGTAATCCTTCTTTTGGGGGGGAGATGATATTTAGTATTTAATATCATAATATTGTATTTTTAGAATAGATGAAATCTGTAATAGCTCTCTAGGTGTACATGTGTGTCAGACATATTAATGACGTATATGAAAGTAAAGAAGTATTGCAGCAAATTTCATCTCACTGATGCATCCTAATATAATACTCCTATGAAAGTCAGCATCACTGGTTCTTTTTGTGCTTTTATCATCTTTTTAAGAGGTGCAAACAGCTCCTCAGATCCTAGTAATAAATTTAGACTTTGAGACCAGCATGAAAAGTCAAATACTTCTTGTATTAAAAAGCCTTTGGATGGAAGTCCTTACACCTCTGCTTAATTGTATCTTGCTGCTTTGGCTGTATTAACCATACTTCATTGTAAGGACAAAGCTGTTGCACTGTCTCTTTCTGGTTAAACTAGGGCATTCAGAAGGCCAAACTATCTCCTCACAAAGAATCTCAATATGGATCTATGACGAAGTGGAAATGTTCTTAATGTTTTGTCTGAATACTGTGTGTACCTCAGTTTCCCCTATGTTGGTGGTGGGATAAGAGTGTGTGATCGTTGCAGAGACCCCTAGAGGGCAGGCGTGACTGACGATTGCCTGGGCACAGAGAATGGCCGACACTGTATCCTGGCAACTGATGGTTGGGCCCCCTCCTCTGCAAGAATCAGCCGGAAGTGTTGGAGAACAAAATTAGAGGTGCAGGCCAGGTGACTTGTTTGCCCAGGAAAGAGACGAAGGAGGCGGGGCAGCAGGTCCTGATTGAGGCTGGCTGCAGGAAGCTAGGCAGTGTCCTGGTTTGGGACTCAGGGAGAGCCCTGGTCTCTAGGGTCTGGATCCCTCCAAGGTGGACTTTGCTGAATGTTCCTGATTTCTGTGCTGAAAAGCTCTGTTCTACACTGTGATCCTGTTATAAATAAACCCTTCTGTTTTACAACGCTGGCTGAGAGTCACTGCTGACTGCAAAGTTGGGATGGATGGCCTCTTTGGTTCGTGTAAGTCTTCCCCAGGTGTCCTTTCCAGGTGGACTCACTGTGGGAAGCTCATGGTGTGAACTGGGTTCTGCTGAATGATCTGAGGTCAGATACAGGAAGCACTGAAGCCGAGGAGGCTTTTTGCCCTGGTGATAGTGTGCCCTCGGGGTGGGGAGACACTACACACGCTAGAGTCCTGCCTGACCGAGACTGACTGTGACAGGATCACGCAGTGCATCTTTGTGTTACTAGTTGGCTGATACTGAACATCAATGCCTGCTGCACCAGAACTCAGGCTATTTTTGTCTGGCTCAGATGTGCCAGTCTCGGAGACCTGCAAGGCAACAATGTGGAGTAACTTACTTTTATCAAGCACTGTGCCTTAGACATAGCTGCTAGGCCAGATGTCGGGGGCGCAATTTTAAAAAAAAATATTTTAAACTGGTTAAATAGGTAAAAACTGCGTGATACTCTCTTTAAAGGATGATGTTTGTGGAGAAGCCAACCAATTGCATTCGGTCATTAGATTCAAATAAATGAGTACATGCAGCCCTACTCCTGGCTTGACCCCAGTGTTGTCTTCTGTATCGTGGTGGGTACAAAGACCTTTTCTGCAACATATAGAGAGTGGACAGGTCCAGTGCATGGCTGTGCAGCCCCTACACAGCACTTACGTGGTGCAGAGGCCCTTGCACATGGCCCTCCTCACCTAGGTGAATTTCCTTCTCCAACCCTCTGCATGCATGAGTAAATGATTATAAATGAACTGTATAAGCAAACTGCATTCCCTTGGAAAGGAAGCTAAAAAAATACTGATTTACTATACCTTTAAAATACTTCTTAGTTGAATGTTCAGACAAACTCATATAAAATATGAATATCACATGATAAACTTTAAATTAGTATTCCTGTTTGGCTTAACAGTTAGTATGTTGTTTAGCAACTTTATTTTCTGAGGTTTTTTTTTTTTTGTTGTTTTTTTTTGTGAGGGGGGGAACCAGGAATAAATAGCATCTTAACATCTGCAACAGCATTTTGCTATCAGTCTACTTAGTAGGCTTCCTGTGCTGATCTCCACACTATCAGCTACATGAATACTACTGCCTTCCATTTTTTTCTTTCTTTACCACAGGGGGCGGAATCAGGCCTCGTTTTTCTAACAGTATCTGACTCGCCTGACAGGAAATTTTCTAATTGCTGGAACAGCTAGTAGCAGCAAGAACATTAGGGTTTGGTCTTCTCTGTTAAACTTAGGATCACTCAGTCAGAAAATTTAAACATTATGGTTTCTTAGCCATGTTTAAGTTTCTGGCTCTACGTATTCGCTCTATTCGGGTAAGTTTGGTTTCTAATTTGAAATAATTGAACAAAAGTTTTGCATTGTGGAAACTGTAGTAAAACTGATAATTTTTAAGGTGGATTGTGATATTTACTGCTCTGTGAACTACATCTATGTTTGAACTAACTCGTAAACTTCTGATCTCTCTAAATTTATTATTTATGTATTCAATTCATATATTTTTTAAAACGTAGTGGAAACCT